TGTTTTTGTGCTGTTTGAGAATGCCTCAGAGGACGCCATTAACTTTTTTAGAGACCGCACTCGTATGTTCGGACCAACTAAGGGTGCTCATAACGAGAACACTGTGGTTAGTAATTCGAGTGACAGGCTCGATGGAATAATTGTCGAATCTGAGATCGATAGAGTGCGTCGAAAGGATGGAGTTGACGTATCTAGTGCAGCCCAGTAACATGGCTTCAGTTTTACTCGCGTTTAGCTGCAAGCAGTTTCTGGAGGCTCGACCGCGGCGATGTCCTCTCGCATCTTACCCAGTGCCGTCGCGAGGTCGCCGGGAGAGGAAACTGAAAATAAATTTGTAGATCATCAGCGTAAAGCATATGTTTGTAGTGCTTTATCGAGTGTGTAGGTCGTTGATAAAGATGCCGAAAAGGAGAAGGCCCAGGACGGAGCCCTGCGGAACTCCACACGAAATGGGCGCCCAAGAGGAAAAGAAATTATCAGGCTCCCGTTGGAATCTGCACGAGAGATAAGATTTAAACCAGACTAAGATTGAAGGTAAAAAGCCTAAGATTGGAGGTGAAAATGGAAAAGCCTACCATCTTATTGAGGAGCAGAATGTGATCGAATTAAAGGCTTTGAAGAAATCGAACAGAACTAGAAGGGTGACCATTCTTCTATCAATCTCCAATCTGATATCATCAATGACTTTGATTAGAGCAATTCGTGCTGTTACCCTTACGAAAACTTGGAAGGGGTCAAGGAGACAATGAGCATTTATATGAGAGGAAAGCTGATCGTGGACGATTCTCTCGAGAATTTTAGAGAGATAGCAGAGCAGGGAAATGGGGCGAAAGTTAGAGCAAGAGGAAGGATTTTTTATTTTAGGAAGAGGGATTACATGGAAAAGTTTCCAGAAAGAATTGAGGGCTAAATTGAAGAGGTCAAGAATAATGGGAAAAACAATGGGGAGGCTATCGATGATGAGGCGACGATTTAGGGCCAGTCGTGTTTGATGAACAGAAAATAAGGGCATGATATAGGACAAAAGATGAGATGTAGTGGAATTAGAAAGAAGTAGAGAGGGAGATAGATAGTGTGGATGAGTGAGAAGGGGAGGAAAAAGGTATGGAAGGAAGAGGGAGAGGAGAAATGGAGGGGGGGAGGGTTTATAGAGGATGAGGAAAAGAGATGAACAGAGGTAAAGTGGACGTTAAGCTGATCAAGAGGGGTGTTCAGAGGAAAGGTAGAGGATTTAGATTTGGTCAGGCCGAGCGAACGAAGCTTGGACCAAAGACACGTGGCAGAGTTAATGGAGCTAAGGCGATTCAAAAGATAAATACTTTTGGAGATATCAATTAGAACTTTGATCTCATTGCGCAGCCGACGAAAAGTGCTAAGGTTGGTAGAAGAGTGATAGAAGCGAAATGCTCTTCTGGCAGCGTAAGAAGTTCTGTGCTCCTTCTTCCGCATAAATAAACGAGCAGAGGAGTCAATCCAGAGAGCTGGAGGCTTTCTAGCAATGAAAGAGAGAAAGGGAGCATGAAGATCACAGGCAAAAGCGAGATAAAGAGTAAGGCTTGAGATCTTGGTATCAATGGAAGAGGAAGAATGATGGAAAATGGTCCAGTCGAGAGCTAGCGAAAGATGGAAGTTCTTAAGATTAAAGTGAGAATAATCTTTGACGGTTACGGTACGTGGCGGAAAACGAAGAAATTGAGGGTGACCTCAATTATCATGCATCGAAAGAAAGGAGAGATGCTGTTGATTATAGGCTGAAAGTAGTTTTTATCACGAAACAGTGGTTGATATGGGTGTGAGATAAAACGTGATGAGTATTATTGAAGGGAATGACAAAAAAGCAATTACAAGAGCAGAAGTCAAGCAGAGAATCGGTGTCATATGAGTGTTTCAATTGAGATCAATGTTAAAGTCGCCGATGATTATAACAGAGAACAAGGGGAAAAATCGCTTCTGCAACGGAAGAGGGAAGGATAGCCAAGCTTAGGCGGACGATAGAACACTGCAAGAAATATATGTACAAGAGTTTCAGCCAAATCTCTGACATCGCAATATCAAAATGATTGTGAAAAAAGTATTCAGAAAATTCGGGGAAGTGGAGGAGGAGAGATTGCAATTAAGTGACCTAAGCGTAGACCGTGGGAAGCACGCGGAACCGAGTGTCACATCTTCAGTCGATGAGATGTTTTGGGAATAGCACCACGTTCCGCAGTGGTCGTCTTGTGATTTTTAACAATTGGCAGTAGTAGTGGTGATGATGGCATCCGGGTCTCAGTTTCTCCACTACCTGCAAGGGTCCCTCGCAAGAACGCCAGGCCTCGAGGAGGCGCGGTTGCAGGGCTGGAGGGCCAGTTAGAGATGAGGCGGCAGTGGCAGACAGAGGCGGTGCCTGATTGGGTAGCGAGGCTCCGGCAATGATAGATTCCAGATTACCGCCATGGCGCAGGCGAACTGGCAAGGTACTGGAGTAGCGCCTGACGTAAATGATGCCATTATGTAACCAGACGCTGTGCAAGCGCTCTTCCCTGACGGCGATTCTAGCCGCATTGAGTTTATGACGAACTGAAGTATGCAATCTTTTATTTAAGTCGATCCAGGTCGAAAACCAACAAGAAATTCAGACACCTCAGACTCTCAAGTGTGCGAGGGATCAGCGATGGAGTATTTTCAAGCTAATAATAGAATCTATATGATATTCAGGAACAATTGATTATTTCCCCCTCCCCCCCTGATTATTCCCATCAATCATCTTTGTCAAAGACAAAGAAACTCATAGTATAAATTAAGGTGTGCTAAATGTACAGCGGGTCAGATCCGATCAGAAAGAGGATTTAATTAATGATTTGATTATGCTTTGGGAATGGATATATAGGTGAAGTGATTACCAAGGGCGGTTTCTCCAGTGTAAACATCTGACAGAGGAATATCCTTCCTGAGGTTAAATTCTTGGATTAGGCTGCAAACTAAGTGAGAAGTCACCGAAAAGTAAGTTCGGAGCAACTCAACCCATTAGATAATTTATTTGAAAAATTCAAAAAAATTCTAGTGTGATCTCAAAGATTAAATAAAATTTGGAAAAATAAACGGGCGGAGAGGTGCCAACAAATGCGATCTTTAAACTCAGCCAAAACCTCGAAAAGATTCAATTTATTACAAATTATAAGACAAATAGAAAATCAAATTGAAAATGAATTTAGAAACTCTTCTGACTCCACAATTTCAACTTCTCATTTGGAATTGACCTCACCTCCTCCTAAAATTTTTCACTCTCTAAACATAAACCCAGATAGTACATCACCTGTCAACATTCCTTCAATTTTTTCTGAGCTTTCTCAAAGTAATTTCTCTTCATAAATCTATCCAATCACCCTTTCGAACCTTCTGAAAATAACCATTTGTTTCTCCAAATCAAATGAACAACTTTACGTCTCTCATTCTAATTTCTTTAATTCAAATGATTTAGAAGAATTATTTCCTCCGAATCTCCGACTTCCTAATTCTTCCAAGTTTCAATAATTCGGAGCCTACTTTTCTAGATATTTCCCTATAATCAAAGTATTATAACTCTAAAGAATTATAATCCTAAAACCCTTCGCCGTTTCAATCCATTTTTTCAATGCAAAAAATACATGAATTATAAATCAATCAAATTATACATATTTCATGCGTTTCCAAATGCAGATTGTGTGGGCCATGCAGTGAGATGCGACCATCCTCAACATTCTTAAATTATTTTATTATTCTTATGGAATGTAGTAACGCTATCAAAAAGGATAAAGCATTTGGTGAATTTGATTCGCAATTAGTACATTGGGTCTAATTGTAAATAATTGTACTTTATTTAATTCAAATCAATCTCAATTTTCTTATATAAGGTGTTTCTACGAAAAATTTGAAGAGATGTAATGATGATTCTTTTGAAAATGAAGAAAAGAAGGGTTTTAGATGATAACATTTAGAGTTATTAAAAAATTCTAATAAAAAATTAAACAAATGTTGGTACTTAAAGAATTAAATAAATGTTGTTAGCTTGATAACTTTAAAACGATAAGTATTCATTAAATTTTTTGTTTCTAACTTATATTCAAAGTTTAAAAAAAAGTAGACTAATTTTTCATCCTATAGGAGCTTGAACTTCTCAGAGAGAAAGATATGAAGTTTATATTTATGAAAACTTCCCTTAATTTGTGACAATGAATTTATCATCTACTAAAATTTTTTTGTCAAGTATTTAGAAACATCCTGTATATGTACTTTAAATATGTTTAATAA